AGTAACATGATAAGGCAATACATCATTTGCTATATCAGACAAATGAATGAGAGGAGCCAGTGAAGTGGACTGGTAGCACTGGAAGAGGAGAGAGAAAGAGAGAGAAAGAGAGAGAGAGTGTGTGTGTGTGAAAGAGAGAGTGTGTGTGAGAGAGAGGGAGGGAAGGAGAAAGTTTAATAAAGGGAAGAGATGAACACAAAGAGAAAGAGAGAGAGGGTGGAACAAAAGATAACATATTAATATTATTTAAGATAGTGCATACCTTTGAAGTACTGATCCCTTGAGTACATAGTGTATTGTTACAAACTGATTTAGGAGTCCATGAAGGATGTGGTAGATCTTCTTCGAATGAGCCCATCAAATGAGGGGGAAGGCAATACCCAATGCTCTGTGCATCCTACAATCAAATATCATAATTATTAGTCACAGTAAATACACAGGATATTAGGAGCAATGCAGATGTACTTGTACAGTGATTAAATACTCTCATATGTTATACAAGTACATGTAAATGAGTGGCTCAGTTGTTTGTGTATTTTTCCATTAAAAGTTGTTTTTATATGTACATGTATTGTTTATGTGTTGTTTATGGTCGGTTATTGTCACTGGTTACATATTCTGTGAATGTTGTGTTTGATTGTGATTATGTGATAATGAGACATAGGAGTGATTAATATTCCTATTATAATAACTGTTAATAATACACTCATTCACTTGTTAATACTGTAGGATGAACAGTTGTATTATGCAGCTTGGAGTGGAGATATAGAAGGAATGAGAACTTCCCTCTCTAAAGGGGCAGATATCAATTGGAAGAATTCCAGTGTGGTAAGTGTATGATGTAGTGACTAGTGTATTAGTATGACTTGTATAATGTAAAAGTACCTGCAGTTTAGTTATGAATCAGTTTATTATATTAATATTGTGTAATTACCGTATTTCCTCATGGAAGCACCTAGGCATTTATTCTTATAGAGAACCGTTTGCTGGGTGTTTAAATGAAGTAGGTGTTTATATGAGGATAGACATTTAAATTCAAAAAGTCATGAAACATGACTGTGAAACATGACTATGCAAACCATAGGCGGTTGCAGGCCTGGGCATTAGGGGGCAATGCCCAGGTTGAATTTTTGACCATTAATTATATTCATGATTTTATAATTATATTCATGATTCTTATTAATACAATAATGATTCATTAATGCATTGGTACATGGTTGTGGGCAAGTTATATAAACCAGGTGATAAATGCAGTGCAATATGGCTAGCAAGAGACAAACTTCTTTATTGGCTTTTGTGAAACCTCCAAAACAAGCTAGAGTATCACAAAGTCCTCTTGATGATAGTAAGTAGATCCTATTATTGATTAGTAAAATTGAGCTAAAACTCTTATAGATGACTCTGAAACAGTTACTTTGGTTGACCAGATTGATCCACCTGAGTCTTCATCAACAGCAACTTCTCTACAGTCACAATCAGTTGCTAGTACACCAGTTTCTTCTATAAATACATCTCCTTTTCAAGCTTCTGCTTCTCTTTCTTCTGCTTCTTTTCCTGGGGACATAGCAAAGAACAAGGATCAAACACCATTTCAACCAAGGCTTAGTTCATTTCCATCAAAAATGTATGGAAGTGTGAAGCGATCTTTTCAAGAACGATGGTATCATTTATTCCCCTGGCTAGAGTACTCAATAGAGCGAGACTGTGTGTACTGTTTTCCATGCCGCTTTTTTGGTGTTAACACTGACAGATGTCTAAGTTACCAAGGCTACTCTGATTGGAAACATGCTTTAGGGAAAATAGGTACACTTACAACTCACGACTCTTCTGTTAAGCACAAGGAGGCCACTCTTACTTGGAAGCAGTATCAGTCTACTATAGCTCATGACACTTCAATTGCCAATCAACTTGAAAGAGGAAGACTGAAGACCATACAGGAGAATCGTGAATATGTGAAGTACATTCTGGAGGTGATATTGTTATGCGCTCAACAGGGAATTGCTCTTCGTGGTCATAGGGAGGTCAATGACTCTGAGAAATCAACCAATATTGGTAACTTTCTCAGCTTAGTCCAATTGCATTCCCGTCATATTGACTTGCTAAGAGAGAGACTGGAGACTGGCCCTAAGAATGCTTCCTTACTTGGTCACCATTATCAAAATAGCATGTTGAGTGTACTTGCTGAGTCTGTTCTGGAGTATATAATATCTGAGGTTAAGTCAGCACGTTACTACACCATCATTGTTGATGAAACCAAGGATGTGAGTAAGAAGGAACAGCTCACTTTAGTGCTGCGATATGTTTTAGAGGGAGTAGTTTATGAAAGATTTGTCTCATACACATACTGTGAGGAGCTCAATGCTGCTGCTCTTACATCATACATTTACAAGGCACTTGACAGCGTACATCTGGATATACAGGAATGTGTAAGTCAGTGCTATGATGGAGCATCTGTGATGAGCGGAGCTTACTCTGGAGTGAAAGCTCGAATACAGCAGGACAATCCAAGAGCCATATACATACATTGTCATGCCCATCAGCTAAACTTAGCTCTTGTAGACTCCTGTCGATCACTCTCACACGCATCAGATTTCTTTTCTCTTATAGAAAGCCTTTATGTTTTCATATCCTCCTCTGTTCCACACAGTTTGTTTCTTACAAAGCAGAAGGAACTAGGACAGAAAGAGATAACACTTGTGAAGTTGTCAGACACCAGATGGTCTTGCAGACATGCTTCCATTAAAGCCATCAAGACTACATTGCCTGCTCTTCTAGCAACTCTGGAAGACATAGCTGATGAAAGTGGTAGCAGAGCAATAGAGTCCCGAGGACTGCTTCACCAAGCCCATTCATTTCCTTTCATTCTTTCTTTGATTCTTTTTGAAAAGATTTTCTCTGTAACTGGTAACCTGTCAAACCTCCTACAGGCAGAACAACTAAACTATGCTGGAGCAGCAGCCTGTATTCGTGCCACTAAGCAGACTCTACAAAATCTGAGGAGTGAAGAAAAGTGGCTGGAGATTTGGAAGGAAACTGTTGAGTTGGGTACAAAGCTCAACATAGCTGTGTCACCTATAAGGTGTAGAAGAAGGCAGCGTTTACCATCTCATCTTTCCAACTGTACAGTAGAAGGACCAACAGGAGTTACCAATACCATTTCCGAGTATCGTACACTTGCCTACTATGCCACTATTGATACTCTTTTAGATGAGATGAATAAGAGATTTAATGAGCTCAATCTCACTCTTTTACAGTCACTACAGGCACTTGTACCTACCTCGGATAATTTTCTTGATTTGGCCTCTCTTCATCCTTTTTTGTCACATTACAGTATTGACAAGGATGGACTAGCATCTGAATTATCTGTTGCTACTACTCTTTTAAAAGAAACATCTCCTCTATCCACGTTACACCATGTTTATTCTCATCTTTATCAAGTGAAGGAGTGTTTTCCCCATTTACTACAAGTTCTACAGATTGCCATGACAATTGGTGTTACCTCAGCATCAGCAGAACGTTCTTTCTCCTCTCTAAAAAGACTGAAGACACATCTTCGTTCAACAATGTCACAAGAGCGACTCAACAATGTTTCTTTATTACACATAGAGAGAGATCTCTCAAATAAACTCTGGCACAATCTTGATGACATAGTTCTCAAGTTTGCTGATGCACACAAAAACTCCAGGGTTACACTTAAATAGCATGAATAGGAACAGTATCTTTTCTCCTTAGCAGCCAATATTATTACAATAATTAATCAAAATTATTAAATTTAATTAAAACCACACCTACACACCACACCCATTAATTACATGCCCAGGTAAGACTAATTTCCTGCAACCGCCCATGATGCAAACAATTTGTAAACCACAAAAGAGCTCATTTTAACAGCTTTATTCTTCAAAATTTTGACTTTGAATGTAGGCCTTGTTGGCCACACCCGCTAATTACCACACCCAAATCATCAAGGCCCACCCAAGAATCCAATCCTAGATCTGCCCCTGAAAGTGGGTGTGGCATAGACATCTAAACAAGCATGGCATTTATTGTCAATGTTTTATGCTGTCTCTAGGCGTTTATACAGGTACGGGCATTTATTGGGAGTAGGTGTTTCCATGAGGAAATACGGTATGTTCCTCAAACACAGTATCCTATTGATGACACTCATAGTCCCTTCTTTCTGGTGGTGTGTGTTTATTCAAGGATCAGTCCTTATTATCTTTATTGCATTTTATGAGAAAACAATGTATTTTATACATTTCTATTGTGAAGGATAGCACACAACATAACAATGTTGGTATAAAATACATTGTAGTTATATACCATACAGTACATTATAACTAGTTATTCAGTCATTGATTTATTATGCTTGCATTATCAGTTACTGGTTGAAAATACTGTGATTTTATAACTGTATAATAATGGTGCAATAAAATTGATTTTATTTTTCATTTTGTACATGTATGTACTTTATTTGTTGTGCTTATTTCTTATAGGCTAACTACACTCCATTACATATAGCAGCTAGAGAAAACAATAGTGATGCTGTCCAGTGGTTACTCAGTAAAGGTGCTATTGTTGACTCAAGAAGTGCTGTGAGTTGTATATTGAATGATACTGACATTATTACAACATGATGTAATGTAGTACATGCTAGTTGATAATAAACCAGTTCCAATACATGTTTATCTTTATATTTATTTGTGTGATATTCCAATATTGTTTATGTATTAATTTACCTTGCACGTTGTAATTTTTAATGTGATAAAATTTTTTTGTACACATTTTTGTGAGGAGTATACTGTGCCATCATGAATTACATGTATAGTACATGTATTTGAATTATGTGTAAACATGTACATAATACATGTACAAGTAGTATGATCTTTTGATATTTGTGTATAATTACTTTTAGTTTAGAGTGTGTTTTATTTATTTTATTAATGTAGAAATTCAACAATACATGTGTACAATACATTACATTACAATACATTGGCCACACATTTATTACAATTTGATGTTATATTGCTAGTGCGAATCTTTCCCATAATGTAGCTTACCGTATGGGTACAAAATAATATTTGCAGTGTTAAATTTTCATGATTTTGTGAAAATATTAAATTCACTAGTAAATTCTCTATCTGTCTCTCCCTCCCTCCCTCTCTCTCTCTGTCTGTCTCTCTCTCTCCGTCCATCCGTCTCTCTCTCTGTCTCTAAATTTGTCTCTCTCTGCCTCTGTTTGTCTGTCTGTCTGTCTCCCTCCCTCTTTTTCTCCCTCCCTCTTTCTCTCTCTCTGTCTGTCTTTCTCTCT